ATAACAATTATTGTATAATAATAAAAATTAATTCTGAATATTTATTTATATTAATATTAAAGATATATATTTGGTTTCTTATTAAACAAGCTTATAATTATTTGATATACTAAAAATGAATATTTCATATTTAATATTTATATATATTATGGGAAATCAGGACTTTGCAATAATGGCTTTGTATGCAATAAGGAGAAGGAGGTGTGGCAGACACCTTGAAGTAAATTTAGCCTCTGCCCGTCTGTTTGTCTGACCGTCGTTCCAGACGGATTGCTTAAATTGTATATAGAGGCCTAAAACTTTGGTTTTTATTTTTGTTTTTATAAGTATTATATATATTTATTATTATTTAGTTTTAGTAGCCAAAAAATTATGGGATTTATTCACTGTTTTTGAAAAAATTGCATATTAATCATATTAAATGAAAATATACAAACCGATAACAATTTTTTTTCCCTACCTGATTAATTTGTTTCCATATCAAGATTTTGTTCAGGCAAGTCGAGTTTTTTGCTCAAGAGCTATATGTAATTTAAATAATATCAAATCAAATAGTTGAACGATAGTCTTTAAGCAAATCCGTTAAAGATAACTTTAATCTTTACATTAAAAACAAAACCTTGAGATAATATGTTTGATTGATAATGTTTGATGTTTGATTTAAAGTTAGTAAACTACGAGAAATAAGTTAATACAAACAATTGAAATCACATGTTCATCATCTCCCACTGTCTTGCCACATGCTGTCTGGCCAAGTCTACTGAACTCGATTTCTGGTAGAGCATCTGAATGCTGTGTTCCCGGACCCGGACATGTGTTTCTACTTTTTCCTTGTGCATTTTCTTAGTTTGCCGCTAGAAAGCCTCATGTTAGCTGCCTTTTTGGGGTTTTTCTTGGCTGGTTGCCATACATAAACAATAAACACACACCCACACACACACGCTAACACTCAGACATAAGCTGACTGTAACAGCGCAGCCCTTCGCACAGACAAAGTGCTTTTGTTGTTTAGAGCAAAAAGCAAAAAAGCCACAAAAATCGTTCAAGGCACGTTTGTGTTACATTTTTCGACCCAACATAAGAGTAGTTGCTCCTCCACAGAGCCATACTATTTTTTTTGCCCCCTGCACTGCTGCTTGTGCTTCTGGCTCTTCTATGGCATTTCTGGTGCTGGCCATGTGGTTAGCCATTTTTAGTTGGTTTCCATTTTGTTTGTGTTCCGGGGCGATGTTATTTTAGTCTGATTTCTCGATGTTGTCCATAAAGTTAATTAGAAAAGCTGTCAGTGCTTTTTTTTAGTGTTGCACAGCAGTAGATCAAGAAAAACTTGAATAACACTTGTTTATCTTTTTTTTTCTCGCTCTCTCTCTCTATCTCTTTCCATCTCTTTTGCTCACTCTCTCACAGTTTTTTTTTATGATGGGAAAATATGACAAACAGCGCACATTTTCATTTTCATTTTACTTTATCTTACTCTCTATCTCTATCTCTCTCCCTCCCCCTCCTCCTCCCGCTGCCTGTCTTATAAATGTTGGCCGCTTTGTATGCTAATATTTGAAAAAAAGGCGACACGGCGAGAGCTTCCCTTAACAAATTATGTTGCCACTTGTCACATTTAATGGTATTTGCATTTGTATACCAACAAATGGGTGTCAGGCATCATCATCACGCATAGTGATGATGCTCTCTTCTATCTCTCTCGCTTTCTCGCACGCTCTCTCTGCCTTAGATTCCTATTTCTTTACAAATATTTACGCGGCATTTTAAGCGGATTTTTCATTTTGAGTGATTTGTG